CTCTAGCCCGGGCAACAGAGCCAGACTCTGTCTCAAAAAAAAAAAAAAAAAAGTATATATGAAGGAGATAACTATAAAAATTAGGGGATAAACTATCAAATTCGAAGGCTTCTATTTTAAAATGATATGGTTACTAAGAATGAGAAGGACAGTGGAAAAACATGTGGTTGATGTGGTGAGGAGGGTCTGTAGGACTTTGTATGCCCCTCCAAGGTGTTTGGAAATTATTCTGAGGTCAACGGTGAACATTCAAAAGTACTGAACAAGACAGTGACAAAAATCAGATTCACATTTTAGAAAGATGGTCCTGACTGCAGGATAAAGAATAAACAAGCAAGACTGAATGCAGAAAGACTTGTCATGAAACTGTTGCAGTAACCCAAACAAGAGATTATGTTGACCTAATTAAGAGTGTTTTTACTATTCTTAAGACCTAATTTTATGAGTTAAACAGGCTTTTGTGGGCTTTCTAAGAAAACAACATTGCTGTCAGAGTTTTCATGGGAAAGCATGTTCCAAAACATAATTACATGCTAATTAGCATACAACCTATTCGTGGATTGGGGATTGTTTACAACTAAGTAAGTTTATTTGCCATTAAAAATGGTAACTTTTACAGAAACCTCATCTGCTTTCCAAATTACAATCTTAATCTAGATCATTTCCACTGCAATTGCAAAACCTCTTTCTTATGCAGAAGACATCTAAAAAAGGGCTGTTTCTAAAAATGATTTTCAAAAATAGATCTTCTTAAATGTACAAAACAGAGGTTAGGATTTGGTATCTGTGACAGTAAACTACTCTTAGTACCCAGAAAAGAAAACAAGAATACTTACTTCATGAAATACAGCTCCAGAATATGGAGATACTCCCAAGTCCAACAGTGAAAGGCCTTCAACCACTGAAAAATAAGACATCCAAATTCACTCAGACTTCGGAGACATAAGCAGGCAGCTATAAACCAAAGTGCTAGATACCCTCAGGACCAAGAAAAGCCTCAGAATTTATCAAACCCCTTTACCTCATCCCCAGCAAGTGGCTTTAAGTCTTGATTTGAATACTTCCAATAATGGGGAACTCTCTTCCATACAGAGCATCCTTTTCCATTGTGGGGCAGCTCTCATTATGAGAAAGTTCTATGTTAAACTATAAGCTTTGGCCGGGCGCGGTGGCTCACGCCTGTAATCCTAGCTCTCTGGGAGGCCGAGGCGGGCGGATTGTTTGAGCTCAGGAGTTCGA